TAGGGAAGCTAGGGTTCACGTCCAGCTCTGATTCATCTTTCCCCACATTTCTTCATCTCCAAGGCAATTTTCAAACTGGGATACACACCTGCAGGGGTTCTCAAAGACGCAGCAAGGGGTACAAGGAGTAACTATTTCACAGTGACACCAGTTGTTTTTTTAAAATACGAATTGTTCAGATGCCCATCCATGTGTTCTTTCCTCCAAGCGCTCTGTGCAGTGTGAAACTCCTTTCTCTCCAGCCCTTTTCATTTCCCCTCTGCCACATCACCCCAGAGATCCCACCCATCTCACCCAGAACCTGTAGTACCTCCCAGGGTGCCCAAGTGAGAAGCAAATTAAAACTATTAGTGTCCTCAAAGCCTCATTTAACGAAGGCCCTAAAGACCGCTCATTCTCCTCATTAAGAGATGTTTTTCCAATACAATTTTAGGTTACTATTATCAAAATACATGAAGTGTTTGTTGTACTAATAATACATTTTATACTACTACTAATTATGCAAATTCAATCCAGAAGGAAAATTTTAACTTTTAAAGCTTTATGAACATAGGAAGTGTTTAAAAATTAAATTTCAAATTATACTTTTTTTTTTTTTTTTGCAGTGAAGTTTGATCAATAAAAGATTTTCAGGAATAGAAACATTAGGCCCTGATCGGTGTGACTTGGTTAGGCATTGTCCTGCAAAGCAAAAGGTTGCTGGTTCCATTTCCTGTCAGGGCACATGCCTGGGTTGTGGGGTCAGTCCCTGGTCCCTGGTTAGGGCGCATACCAGAGGCGGATTGATGTTTCTCACATTAATGCTTCTCTTCCTCTCTTCCCACCGCCCCATCCTCCCCCCCATCCCCTCTTGAAAGAGAGAGGGAGGGAGGGAAGGAGGAAGGAGGGAAAACAGAAAGAAAAAGAATATTAGGGTAAGTCCTTTGGGGAAAGTAGAATGGCAATAAAATTTTTGACTATTAAGATCTCACCCCCGCCCTGACTGATGTAGCCCCGTGGGTTGGTTGTCATCCTGCAAAAGTCGCTAGTTTGATTCCCCGTCAGGGCACATGCCTGGGTTGCAAACCAGGTCCCCCTTTGGGGGCATATGAGAGCTAGCCAATTGATTGATATTTCTTTCTCTCTTTCTCTCTCTCATCCCCTGTCTTTGGAAAGAAAAAAAAAAAAATTCCAGCCAAGATGTAGGAAGTGTAGGTAGATACACTTTGCCTCGTTGCACAACCAAAAGAAGGACAACAATAAATTTATAAAATAATAACCAGAATTACCAGAAAAATTGAACTGCATGGAAATCTGACAACCAAGGAGCTAAAAGAAGAAACATTCATCCAGATTGGTAGGAGGGGCAGAGATGGGCAGCCAGGGCCAAGAGGACATGTGGTAAGGCGGTGGCTGGAGGACCAGGCGGATGAGGTGGTGGCTGGCAGTCCCACATTTGCGTGCGAATAAACGGAGGAACAGCTGGGGAGCGGGATAGACCGTGTAATCCAAGGTTCCAGTGTGGGAAAAGAAAGCCTTAAAACCTTTGGAGGTAAAAACCTGTGGGGGCTGTGGCAGCAGGAGAAACTCTCAGCCTCTCAGGAGAGTTCGTTGGAGAGACCCATGGGGTCTTAGAACACACACAAACCCACCCACCTGGGAATCAGCACCAGAAGGACCCAATTTGCTTGTGGGTAGCGGGGGAAGTGACTGAAAGCTGGCCGAGAGCCAAGCAGGTGGCATTGTTCCCTCTCAGACCCCTCCCCCACACAGAACAGCACAACACAGCAATGTGGGTTGCCCTGCTCTGGCGAATACCTAAGGTCTCTGCCCCTCCCAAAGTAACAGGTGCCCTGAGATGAAGAAATATGACCCAAATGAAAGAACAAATTACAACTCCAAAAATAGAACTAAGCAATGAACAGATAGCCTATCAGATACATAGTTCAAAACACTGGTAATCAGGATGCTCACAGGAATGGTTGAGTATGGTTGCAAAATGGAGGAAAAAGTGAAGTCTACACAAAGTGAAATAAAAATATACAGGGAACCAAGAGTAAATGGAAGGAAACCAGGACTCAAATCAATGATTTGGAGCAGAAGGAAGAGATAAACATTCAACCAGAACAGAATGAAGAAACAAGAATTTAAAAAAATGAGGAGAGGCTTGGGACAACTTTAAACAATCCAACATTCAAATCATAGGGGTGCCAGAAAGAGAAGAGGAAGAGGAAGAAATTGAAAACTTACTTGAAAAAAATAACAAAGGAGAACTTCCCCAATCTGGCCAAGGAAATAGACTTCCAGGAGGTCAGGAAGCTCAGAGAGTCCCAAAGAAGCTGGACCCGAGGAAGCACACACCAAGGCACATCATAATGACATTACCCAAGATTAAAGATAAGGAGAGAATCTTAAAGGCAGCAAGAGAAAAGGAGACAGCTACCTACAAAGGAGTTCCCATAAGACTATCAGCTGATTTCTCAAAAGAAACCTTGCAGGCAAGAAGGGGCTGGCAAGAGGTTTTCAAAGTCATGAAAGGCAAGGTTTCTTCTACATCCAACATTACTCTATCCAGCTAAGCTATCATTTAGAATCGAAGGGCAGATAAAGTGCTTCCCAGATAATACAGAGTTAAAGAAGTTCATCATCACCAAGCCCTTATTATATGAAATGTTAAAGGGACTTATCTAAGAAAAAGAAGATTAAAAACTATGAACAGTAAAATGACAACAAACTCACAACTATCAACAACTGACCCTAAAGAAAAAGAAAACTAAGCAAACAACTAGAACAGGAATAGAATCATAGAAATGGAGATCAGAGGGGAGAGGGAGGGAGAAGGATGGGGGAAAAGGTTCAGGGAATAATCAGCATAAGTGGTAGGTACAAAACAGGCAGTGGGGAGGTTAAGACTGGTATAGGATATGGAGAAGCCAAAGAACTTACACGTACGATCCATGGGACAACTGTAATAGCAAGATCAATAAAATATATATATATATATTTTTTTTTAAATCTCATCCTGTTTTTAAATGGACAACAGTGAGGTATATAATCACTGTAGTGTTTAGATTCCATTGGATATATTTAAAAGACTGATATAAATAGCTTTGATTTTGAAATGTCAGTATATACTATACACTAAAGATTATGTCCTTTGCAACTATTTAAAGTCACAATGTAGCCCTGGCTGCTGTGGCTCAGTGGATTGAGCACCAGCCTGTAAACCAAAGGGTCACTAGTTCGATCCCCAGCCAGGGTATATGCCTGAGTTGCGGGCTAGGTCCCCAGCTGGGGGCACCAAGAAGCAACCACACATTGATGCTTCTCTCCCTCTCTTTCTCCCTCCCTTCCCCTCTCTCAAAAAATAGATAAATAACATTTTTTTAAAAAATAAAATAAAATTACAATGAAAAACATTTGTCAGCTTAAAATGTTTGAGGGGTTCTACATAGTCCATGAGCAGAAACTATTCCCAGTTATGGATTTTAGAATCTGGAAAGAACCTGATCGATTACTCCATCTTGATTAGTTTGCAGAAGAGGGTGCTGAGGACCAAGGAGCGTTAGTGGTTTTCCTGAAGTCACACAGTTGGGCCCAGAATGCAAGTGTCCTTGCTTGCTCATTCCTTTCACTACTTTGTGGGTCTCCACTATGCTTTGAAATCCCACCACCAGTTTTGACAAATGAGAAAGGAAGACAAAAAGGGATGGCAAAACAGTTACTGAGTAGCAGGGATTTCACTTAGGTAAGGTGCTCTCTGCTCTGTGGCTCCAGCCACAGTGGTCAGGTTGGGAGGCCGAGTTTTATATGTGGCCGAGGCCAAGGGTAATTGGTTGGAGGACACAACCCAAACTTTCAATGGCTGGGATTCTCCTTCCCCATCACCTAGAAGTGAGCCTAATCTTTCAGTCTCTGAGAGTCCAATTTGGGCCTCCACCATCTCATACAGTACACCCTTATCAGGACACTTGAATGCCGTCTGTTGGCCATGATAATAAACATAGCAAAGAAGGGTCCCCTTTAGATCTGACGTCTTGTGCATTGTACAACCACCATGTACATGTTTTACACAGCAGCCCTGGGGCTAAACTAGCCCCTAAGATCCCCTCCAACTAGACAAGCAGGGGCTGAGCCGAGTCCCTGCGGTGACGGCACCCTGCCGTGGAGAGGCCGGATTGAGCACAGCGCAGTGCACAGCCATGTTGCTGCAAGCTCCGTCGTGGGCCTTTGTGCTCCGATCTGAGAAGGGGGCCTGGACCGCACTAATGATGAGGCAGTCACAGATTTTTTAAATAAATTCCAAGGGTTGCTTAGTTTTATCTTTCTGACACTCTTTCAACCCACCTAAGTTTGTGCTTCGTTTTATTTGAGAAACCTCTGAAAATAGCTTAGATTCTTCCTCCTACCTGCCTACAGCACAGTGTGTGAAATCCAGCTTGTGAATAAATGTTTCACAAAACCTACCCTCTGAGATATGTTGACTCTCTCACTTCCCCTTCTTTAGACATAATGTGGCTTTAAAAGGTCAAGCAGTAAAGAAATCTCAGGAGCCTCAAAAAAAAAACCAAAAACAACAACCTTTTTTTTAATTCCCCTATGTATCAAACAGTAAAGTTGGGGTAGAGTGAGGGTAACTGGCTGACTAAACAGAAACAGGCAGACCCAAGCGGGCTATGCTCAGAGACAACCCTGAACAGCAGGCTTAGCCCTGGGACATGAACTAGAACATCGTTAGGGCTGGGGACACAGGCCTAGAAGGCCAAGGGGACACAAAGCTAATTGGAAAGGACACAGGCTGCAATCCGGACACATACCCGAGGCTGAGACCCTGCTGACGTGGCAGCCCTCTGCCCCGGCCCCTTACTGCCCCCCGCCCCTCTCCCCCGCCTGCCAGCTGCCGACAGGGCTCTGCCCTGTGTCTGCCACACCTGTCACTGCCTGTCCTTGTCCAGGGGGGCCCCATCAGCCCCTCCTCAGCTGCCCAGCAGAGCGAGCGGTTAGTGGGGAGGGGAGGGAACATGGAGCGGGGGCCGGTGGTGGGGGCAGGGCCGGGGGCCAGAGCCCGAATCCGGGCACTGCTGGGCTGCCTGGTAAAGGTGCTGCTCTGGGTGGCCTCTGCCTTGCTGTACTTTGGAAGCGAACAGGCTGCCCGCCTCCTGGGCAGCCCCTGCTTACGGCGCCTGTACCATGCCTGGTTGGCAGCAGTGGTCATCTTTGGGCCTCTTCTGCAATTCCATGTCAACCCTCGGACTATCTTCGCCAGCCACGGCAACTTCTTCAACATGTGAGTCCACTCAAGGCCATGGGTGCCACTCTCTGCACTCTGGGATCCCAGCACCCTACAGGCTTCTGTCCTCCTGCCAGTCTGAACGCTAAAAATAGGCCAGGAGTCTGAGGAGAAGGTCAGAGGAGGGGGAGGGGGCAGCGTTATGGGGGTACAGAGGAAGTCAGGAGCAGGGCTGAAGAGGAAACAGGGACCTTAAAAGGCCGAATGGACCTATAAGTGGATGGGGGTGGGAGTTAGAAGACTCAGGGAATAGACAGCCAGTGATGAAATGGAGAACTGGGAACAGCGGTGATGGGAACACTGACCCAATGGGGAGATGGGGCTGAGGGGTCTCAGTAGCCTCCCCTCTTCTCTGCCCACAGAAAGTTTGTGAATTCGGCATGGGGCTGGACATGCACCTTCCTGGGGGGCTTCGTGTTGCTGGTGGTGTTCCTGGCTACACGGAGCGTGGCTGTAACTGCCCGGCACCTGAGCCGACTGGTGGTGGGGGCGGCTGTATGGCGGGGGGCTGGCCGGGCCTTCCTGCTCATTGAGGACCTGACCGGCTCCTGTTTCGAGCCTCTGCCCCAGGGCCTGCTGCTCCACGAGCTGCCTGACCGCCGCAGCTGTCTGGCAGCTGGCCACCAGTGGCGGGGCTACACGGTCTCCTCCCACACCTTCCTGCTCACCTTCTGCTGCCTGCTCATGGCCGAGGAAGCGGCAGTGTTCGCCAAGTACCTGGCTCATGGGCTGCCGGCTGGAGCACCCCTGCGCCTCGTCTTCCTGCTCAACGTGCTGTTACTAGGCCTCTGGAACTTCCTGCTACTCTGTACCGTCATCTATTTCCACCAGTATACTCACAAGGTGGTGGGTGCCGCAGTGGGCACCTTTGCCTGGTACCTCACCTACGGTAGCTGGTATCATCAGCCCTGGTCTCCAGGGAGCCCAGGCCATGGGCTCTTCCCTCGCCCCCACTCCAGCCGCAAGCATAACTGAAAGAAATAAAGGCACATCAGGCCTGGCTCTGGCCCCTCTCATCATTTGGTTGGGGGACCTAGGAAGGGTGGGACGGGTAAAAAGAGGCTGGTGGTCACCGAGGTTCTTCAGCCTTTCCTTGCTGTCATCAACCTTGAGCGCTTGATGGTCATTTCTCCTGCTGTCCTTTCCATCTCCTAGTCCTTGCCGACTTTGAGCTCTCTGAAGCTCCGATATCAAGGAATGGCACTGCTAAGGCAGGTAATGAATGGTCCTTAGGTATGGGCAGCATCCCCACTGAGCAGGTGCTCCATCTCCAGCCTGGTTGATTCCTTTTCCCTGCCTCTTTCACTGAATCCTACCTCTGCTTCCCTCAGGGGCCTGACTATCTATCTAGAAACCCTTCCTACCCCATCTTCCCCGTAGGGGTCCATGTGCACTTATTTTTTTTTAACAGATGTTTACTGAACCAAGCATACTTCCATATCATGTGAGTAAGGAAGACAAGGTTTTTGCTGCTTGGGGGCTTATGGGTTACTGGGGAAGCAGATGATAAACTCAAATACAATAGCAAACACTTGTATTGTGCTTACTCTGTGCCAGGCACCAGTTCTTTATATAAATTAACACAGTTAGCCCTCACAGCAACAACACTATGAAGTGTCTCCATTGAAGAGCTGTGAAAACTGAGGCACAAGGTAAGTAACCTGTTCACAGCTAGTAAATATCAGAGTCAGGATTATAAACACAGGCACTCTGAGACCATTATCTGTCTTTAAACCAGGGATCAGCAAATTACAGCCCTCCTGTGGCCAGTTTTTGTATGGCCAGATTGCTAAGAATGGTTCTTATATTTTTTAATGGTTGAAAAAAAATTAAAGAATATTTCATGATATGTGAAACTTACATGAAATTCCAATTGCAGTGTCCATAAATAAAGTTTTTTTGGATCCTAGCCACACTAATTAATTTAGATATAGCAACTTACCTGCTACAATGGCAGAGTTGAGTACTGTAGTTGCTACAGACACTATATGGCCCAGATAGCCAAAAATTTTATCTGGCCTTTTACAGAAGTTTGCCAACCCCTTGTTTAAACCACACTATCCTCAGAAGACAAACTGACTGATACCAGAGGTAAGTGCTACGAAGGTACTAAAACAAGCTGCTTAGTAAACAAGAGACTTGGAGGAAGATACTTTTTAAAGGATAATGGAAAGAGCTCTCTTAAGAAGAGACATTTGAGCTGAGAATGGAACACCAATATAACACAGGGGAAGAGTGTGTCAGGGGAAGGGATTAGCCAAGGCAAATGCCTTGAGACAGTAATGAATGTGACACTGACAACAAATGAAAAGCCAGGTATTTTCAAGTGTAATGAAAGCCGGAGAAAGCAGTGTAGCAGTGAAGCAGATTGGCAGCAGATGCCAGGCTGTCCAGGCAGGTCTTTGGATTTCAGGGGAGCCCTTTGGATTTCATTCTCAGGTCAACAGGAAACTGAGACACAGTCCCAAGCAAGAAAGAGCCAGATCCTGCTGCTGTGTGGATAGCAGGTTACAGAGGAATGGAGTGCCCAGCAAGGGTCAGGAGAGAGCTGACTGACGCCTGGGTTGGCTTGGGGCCAGCAATTGAATGTCACTGCGTGGACCAGAGGACACCCAGGGGCTGGAGTCCAGGGCCCTAGACTGGCAGGGCTAGGGACGGTAGGCCAGGTTTGCTCCACAGAGGAGGAAAGATGGAAGACCACCGGAAAAGGCGTATTACCGTCCCAGGCCCAGTGAGTGAAGAAGAGGGCCAGTGCGGAGTCAGGACGCAGAGGTGCGGGGGGGGCGGGGGGGGCGGGCGGGGGGAGCCGGGGGTACGAGGGGTAGTGCAGAGGCGGGCACTGGCCGGGTGAAAGGTCTACGGGCCTGCAGAAGCCGAGAGGTGAGAATCGGAATGCAGGGAGGGCAGGAGTGGAAAGAAGGCAGGAAAAGTAGGCGGAGAAGGGGGAGGAAGGAGGAGGCGGGGCGTCGAGAACCGAGGGGCTCGCGGAGGACCTCAGTAAAAACGCTCCGCTCGGGCTCTAGGGGGAGCCCCGCCGGAGCCTCCTTCCCCTGCTCCACCCCCCAGCACTCCGCCCCCCACCCCCTTCTTTCGGGTCTGTCCCCGCCTCCTCCAGTGCCTCCACTCCCCGCTAGTCAGGAAAGCCCTGCCGGTTGCGCGCGCTGCTTTCGCTTTCCCTTCTCCGTGCCCAGTCTTCGCTCCTCGTGAGGCGCTCGGGCCCCCGCCCCAGCCATGGCCATGCTCAGGGTCCAGCCTGAAGCCCAAGCCAAGGTGAGCGCTGCGGGTTCGAGGAAGGGCCCATCAGGGAGGCGTGGCGCCGAAAAGCTGAGGACGTAGGTGATCCACCTTCCAGCTCCCCGACACTTGTCGAGGTCAGTCCTCGAGCCCAAGTGAGCCTCCATGCAGGGAGCACCGGAGCTCCGAGGAGACCGGCGAGGTTCGGCTGCCGGGAGAGAGGAGGCGGCCGGGGTTCATCGGGGTGAGGTGAAGCGGAGAGCTAGCGTGGAGGGGAAGTCCGCTGGCCCGGCGCCGGGCCCACACACAGAGGGAATGCGGCACCTGCCTTACTACCTCATTGCCTTTCCCACCGGGAGGGCCGCCGAGGCCCACCCCACAGGGTATTCCGTCCATGTCCGGTCGCAGAAGGCTCTTACACCTCTCCTTACACAGCCCAGGAGACCCGAGGGATCTGTTCTCACCTGAACTACTCGCCCTTTGCAGCCAAAAATGTCCTCATCCCCCAAACCCAGTCCCACGGGGATCCGCTCCGCTGTTCCCCAGACCAGACCCTACACAACCCTAAGGGAACAGTACCCAAATGAACTGGCCATAAAGCCAGGTGTCTGAAGGGCTGCCTGTGTCCCACAGGTGGATGTGTTCCGTGAAGACCTGTGTACCAAGGTAAGACTCGCCCCAACAGCACCCCATCTCCACTGCTCAGCCCTTTCTTGCTGGGCAGCATCAGCCCTGCTTCACTGCCTAGAAAGGGCACTTGATTCTGACACCTATCTCCCCGCCCCCGCCCCACAGACCGAGAACCTGCTTGGGAGCTATTTCCCCAAGAAGATTTCTGAGTTGGATGCATTTTTAAAGGTATTGGGGTTGGGCAAGGAGCTAGAGAGTAGAGGCCAAAGGGGAATCTGGGGACCATGAGAGTGAGGAGGTGAGAGGGATGCCCTTGCCTCCAGCACTCCTCCTACTCTGCCAGGAGCCAGCTCTCAACGAAGCCAACCTGAGCAATCTGAAGGCCCCATTGGACATCCCTGTGCCTGATCCAGTGAAGGAGAAAGAGAAGGAGGAGCGGAAGAAACAGCAGGAGGCAAGCCAGGAAGAGCTGGGAGGAGGGTGTCATCCACGGGAAAATTAGCCTTAGACCTGACTCCCAAGAGCACTTCTTTCCCTGCAGAAGGAAGACAAGGATGAAAAGAAGAAAGAAGATGAAGACAAAGGTACCACTCTGGTGGGAAGGGACTTGAGTCTTATCTTCCAGGAGCTCTTTTTGAAGGATTCCTCTTCCCCACCCCTCACTCAGTCCCAGCCATGTGACTAACCTATTGGCCACTCTCTAGGTCCTCCCTGTGGCCCAGTGAACTGCAACGAGAAGATCGTGATCCTTCTCCAGCGCTTAAAGCCTGAGATCAAGGATGTCATTGAGCAGCTTAACCTGGTGAGCCCTCCCACTTCACTTCTACCCCCAGGCCATAGGTCAAACCCTTTGTCTTCCTTGTTCCCTGCCATTTAAGGCATGGCACCTGCCAGGTCTTAGTAGGAGAGGGCACAGCACATGAAGGCAGAGGTTTAAGCTCTGGGCCTCAGGATGGACCTAGCATCCTGAGTGGACAGGAAGCAAGGAAGGACAGGAACTTGGTAATTGGGTTGAAGGCTGATGTGGCTTTGATGCTATTCCCTCCTGCCAGGTCACCACCTGGTTGCAGCTGCAGATACCTCGGATTGAGGATGGAAACAACTTTGGAGTGGCTGTCCAGGTTAGAGTGCTGCCTCACTGCCCCAGTCTTCTTACCTCTCTAGTCCATGCTGTTTTCCACTTTCTCCATTGCATTCTTTCCCCAGGAGAAGGTGTTTGAGCTGATGACTGCCCTTCACACCAAGCTGGAAGGATTCCACAGTCAAATCTCCAAGTGAGTGTCTGCCCAACTGCACCCACATGCACATCCCGCCTTGGCTTGGACAGAGGCCTGGGCTCACCCCTTCTCCCACTGCACGCCCTTCTATTTCCCACAGGTATTTCTCTGAGCGAGGCGATGCCGTGGCCAAAGCAGCCAAGCAGCCACATGTGGTAGGTGAGATCCACAGGGTGCATGCTGGGGGGAAGGACACGTAGGAAGTTGGCCCTGACCCAGGTCTCCCACAGGGTGATTATCGGCAGCTGGTGCACGAGCTGGATGAGGCAGAGTATCGGGACATTCGGCTGATGGTCATGGAGATCCGAAATGCTTATGTGAGGAGGAGAGGATGGGGCGAGGGTGGGCAGAAGCAACGTTCCCAGGCCACCCATCCCCTGACCCTGCAGGCTGGGGGTAAAGGGTGACAAAGCTCAGTCTCTCTACAAGATTAAAAATGGGGCACAGAGCCACTGGGGGCTTATGGGTGATTCCCTCTCCTCCCTGGCCTTGTAGGCTGTGTTATATGACATCATCCTGAAGAACTTTGAGAAGCTCAAGAAGCCCAGGGGAGAAACAAAGGGAATGATCTATTGAAAGCCTCCTCTCACACTCTGGTGGGTCCAATAGAGAACGTCCTGTCTTTGACAGGGAACTCCAGATTTTGTCCTCCCTTCAGCCTTTTGAGGTTTCTCCCTCATTTTGTCTCTCAGGCACAATAAATATAGTCGTAACGGTTATCCATGAGCTCAAGTCTCTTTATTGGATCCTGACCCTCCCACTCTGGTTCAGGCATTTCCAGTGGTGGGACCAACCCACTGTGTGATTTGGGTGTTGAGCTGCTGGTTGGTCCAGTCCTGCCGGATGTCATCGAGATGGCAGTCAAAGTCTACAAGGTGCTGGTGGGCCCGGCTCTCCAGTAGCGCTCCCACCATCTGCCGTGACTCTTCCCAGTCCCTCCACATCACTCTGAAATAACCCCCATGGAGATCAAACTCAGCTGGCAGTGGGGCTAGACAATGACCCTTGGGGCACAACCAAGGGCAGAGGCCCAGGTGCTGTGGGTTTCCAAGAAGAAGAGGGAGCAGGGGACTCACAAATTCTTGTCCTTGGGGACCCAGCGAAGACCATGGTTCTCCAGAACGATGACTGGGGGCACATGAGGCTGAGACACCAGTTTCTGATTATCCAACTGTGTAGACAAGGAAGGGCAAGTGAGGGCTTCAAGGATCCCTCTTCTCTTTTCTTCCTAACCCCCTCCTCCAAACCCAAGCCTCACCATAATGAGTACTGCATCAGGGAAGAATTCTGCAATCCGCCCAGCGATTTTCAAGGCAAGGGGCCCAGGGCTGTGTAGAGGGAAGATCAGAGGAGTGAGGGGCAGACTGGAGAGACCCCATCCATCTGAACTGTGTCTCCCAGGTCTCAGAGACATGGGTGTAGTGACTGCCTTTCCCTGTAGCTAAGCTGGGGGATCTGGTCTGCTTGATGCTTCATGCACGACTGCTTGATGCTTGAATGTTGTGGGAAACAGGTGATCAGACACTGCTGGTGAAAGTGAAAATCAAAGGTGGTCTTGGGAGGTAATTCAGCATAACCATCCAAATTTAAACTGTATACCACACATATGCTGACCCAGACATCCTACTTATAAAGGAGTTACTATAGCCCTGCTGGTGTGGCTCAGTGGATTCAGTGCAGGTCTGCAGACCTAGGGGTTGCTGGTTCAATTCCAGTTTGGGGCACATCCCTGGGTTGCAGACCAGGTCCCTGGTTGGGGCATGTGGGAGGCAACTGATCAATGTACCTCTCACACGTCGATGTTTTGCTCCCTCTCTTTCTTTTAAAAAAGAAAAAAGTTACTGTAATAATAAGGCAGTCTATAATAAAAAAATGTTTAATTACACAGTCTCAACGTCAATTTAGACATTAAATAAATTATGGCACATCTTCATTCATATTACATAGCTTTAGGATAAGGTAGATCTTGATCTAGAGATGGAAAAATGTCAAGATATTTATTAAATAAGGAAAAAGCAAATTACAAAACAGTATTGTATACTTTGATCCGGATACATGATTAACAGATAAGTAGATATGTTTTTCTACTTATAGAAAATAAATGTTGTGGGTTTGTTTTTAAGTTACTGGTGGGGCTTCCAGGATTCTGTCAGCAGTTTAGGGGTGGGGGCACCTCGGTTAAAACTAGTGTCAGCCTTTTCTTCTTCATACACATTTGTCCTCCCCTCCAGAGAGGACACAGCTCCTCCAGAGAGTCCTTATATTTCCTCACTCCAGTACCCAGCCTTATGCCTGGTAAAGAGTCCCTGCTCCTAAGCCTTTTTGATTAAGGAAAAATTGAAGTAATGACCAAGAGGGGTTCTCTTGACCCCACCCCCACTCCATAACCCTTAGCCTTCTGCCTCTGGCTAGCCTACTTACCTCTGGTCATGGAGAGCTGCATTGGCATGGTAGTACCCAGCCACTACCAGACCGGCCTGCGCACCCCACACATCCACCTGCCATGGGAAAGGGACCATCAGTAACTAACTCGAGCCGCCCGCCCAGTCGGTGTACACTGCTCCTAAGAGGCGGGAGGTGGGCTTGAGCTAAGGGTGTTAGGGGATTTCGCAGTATTTGGTGGGAGTCCAGCAGCAGCACCTGGTTGAGAGCGACCTCCAGCATGACAGACAGGGCCAGGTGGCTGTGGAACAGTGGCACACAGTCGGCTAGATACAGGCATTCTCCCGATTGCGGTGCCGGCGCCAACAACAGCCCGTTGACCGCGGCGTGAGGGTACCGGGCGGCATGCAGGCACATCTTCACGTAGGCCCGGGCCGAGATCTCCACCTCCCCCATGGCGAGCCGGGCCCCAGCTCAGGTCCGCGAAGCTTCTTCCAGCGCCCTGGCGCCTTCTCTGTTTCTCCCCGTGACCCCGTCACTTAGGTTCGGTGGTGACCCTGACTCGGCTAGAAGGCGCCTGGCCCCAACCTGGCCAGGAATGCAGGCGTTGGCGGCTGCAAGTTGCGGCATCCGCACCACGCTCCGCCTCCGCCAGCCCCCAGGGGGCGGCCTCAGATTCGTGCCTGTCTCGGGGACCCAAAACCGCCTGCTTAAGCCGGACCGCTTCTACAGCACTGCCCACATGGTGCCACTTGATAGGCTTAGAGGTTCTCATTTTGTCCAATCACTGGCCTCACCCAAACCTTGCCCCACCTTTGTCTCCAGCGAACTAGAAGAACCCACAACTGTAAAGCAGAAAACTGCCAGCACGCAGATTGGCTAGATTATCCGACTTCAGCTCGCGGTGGAGGGATGGCTTCTGTAAACCTGTGCCACGGGCCCCAAACGCCCCCCAGAACAGCAGGGTGCGCCCTGCATCGGATGTCCCAGAGCAGTAGATCTTGGAATTTGGGCATGTAGGGGACTACCTTGCTCCTACTATCAAATCAGTGGATATGTACTCTAGGCTGACGCTTCCACTTAATAATGAGCGACGCTACCTTTCCAACTACAGGTTATCTGGTCCTTAGTTTCCTTGATGTAATATCTGCAGAAATAAAGACAGCAGTTGGGTGGAGGGTAAAAAAACAAAAAAGGACAAAAAAATGTATAGACCCATCCTTTCTGTAATGTCCTCTGGTGTAATTTCCTTCATCATAATGCCTTGGGATTGTTTGTTACCCTACCAGCCCTTGAGAAGAAGTCCAACCATTGACCCATAATTCTTCCAGTGAAACCATTCTTCCTCCAGGCTTATTCCAGGCTGATGAAGTGATGAAAGGCTTTTCCTTTCATTCTCTGACTTCACCCACAGAACTTTTCCCTTGCCTGTCCAAAGCCTGATTCTTCCCATAAGGACTCTGCCCCAACGCCACCTCTTCTAGAAAGCACTCCTGAGACCCCTAGATGGGAACAGTTTTGTGAAAATCCCCAGTACAGGCTATCTTTATGGTTGTCATGGCATGTAACAGTTTCCATCCTGTTCTTTAGGATGACTTGTTAAGAACAGGTTGGGCATCTAATTCATCTTTGTCTACCTGGAACCCCTTCCCTTTTCCAGCACCACATTCACATTCCGTGTCTGGACAAATGTGGCACTCAGTAAATGTTTTTTAGATGAAAGATACACATCAAAGGTAATCCACACAAAGTATTGGTAATTTATTTCTTTTCTAGCCCTGGGCTCAGTACATAGATGGCTTCTCTTCACCCTTTGGGTTGACAATTTTCTCCAGGTTTCTGCTGATGATATGATAAAGCTCAGCCTGGAAGAAGGCCAGAAAGACAGCAGTCAGTTTCTTGGCCTTTCCTCTGCCCTCCGTCATCCGACTCCCTGAGGGGCGTACTCCACACTCACATAGAAGGCCCTGAGGTCCAGCACCATGGCCCTGAGTTCCCCATAGGCTGTCTCATCTCTTTCATGCACCAGGGCCCGGTAATCCATCTGGGATGTGGAAGGCAAAGCTGAGTCAGCCCCATGTGAGGCTGGGACATAGTCTGGTTTCCTCATACAGGGAATAGGTAACTTGAGGATGAGCCCTTCTCAGCACCAAGAAAATAGGATTCCCGTAGGTCCAAACAAACAAACAAACAAAAGGGATCAAGGGTTTTTGAAGCCCAAATTAGTTTTCCTAGGCAATGATTTTGGCTTAATATTCTCCACATGGGGAAGATCACAAACAAGACAAAGAGGTCCTCTATCCCCCTTCCCTCACCCCACTCCCAGCCAGCCTCAGCTGAAAGGCTGGTGGACAATGCACTCACTACATGGGTCTCCTTAGAGGCCTTGGCCACAGCATCCCCGCGTTCTGAGAAGTACCTGCCGGAAGCACAGGAATGGGTGTTCAGAGAGATATATTCTCTCAGACCCTACCCAAAGCCCCCCATAGTCTTGATGGGACTGCCATAAGAGCTTTAGGAGTCCCTAAAATGTTCCCATAGCACCCCTGTGCTGGCCTTTCAGCTGCCCTCACTTGGAAATAGTTGTCTGGAAAGCTTCTACTTTGGTCTTGACCGCATTCACCCTCTCCAACACCTTCTCCTGTCGTGACAAAAAGAGATGAGAGGCAAAGGAAACGCTTTATCTCCTTCCTTCTTCACTCACCTTCTCCCTCCTCCTTCCAGTTATGTCTGTCTTCTAACCCTCATTCCCCAAGCCACTCTTAATGTCCTCGCACACCCTTTTCTTACCTGGATTGCCACCCCAAAGTCATTTCCATCCTCAATCTTGGGAATTAAGTGCTGGATCCATGTGATCACCTACATGAAGAGGTATCATGGTGGAATCATTCAACAAACCTACTGGGTTCTTCCTATTTCTGCTACTCCCTAACAATGGCTATATTTAATCGAGAACTTACTAAGCGCCAAGCACGATGCTGCGTATTATACATTTCATTTGCTCTTTCAAGTTTATTATCCTTTTTTATATCCTTTTAAGAGATGAAAAAACTGAGTCATAGAACATCTAAGAGACTTACCTAAGGTAACCAGCTAGGTTAGTGATGGAGTCACGATTTGAACTCAAGCATTCTTCCTCTAGGGCCCAAACTCTTAAATCAACTTACTATATTATAGCACCTGCACTGTGTCCCTGGTACAGCAGTGGGTTCTGAGGTTATGGAGATAGATATAGTACAATCTCTGATTTCAGGGATATCAGAGATCTAACAGAACAAAAGTTATCTACACCCACATCACAGGTAGAAGTTTCCTGTTTCAGGAATAGGTTCCTGAATGAAGGACTTGCATTTCTGATGGACACCAGGGCCTGCCCTGTCTTCTCTATTTCTCTTAGTTCCCAGGCTTACCAGAATACATTTTTCTTTGAGAGTCCAGACTTCTGGCTTAACAAGGGCAAGCAGGGCCAGAAGCTTCTCATTTCCAGGGAGAAAGCCGCACTTAGGGACTGTGAATAAAGGGGATTTAGACCTCTTCTCTTCCAGCAGTCACTGTGCCATTTCCCTTTCCCTAACCACCCCTTCCTCTCTTACCTTCTTTCTTCTCCTGCTTATCTGTTTCCATCTAAAGTAGAATGGGGGAAAGTAGCTTCAGGAAAGTCATGGAGGTCAGAGGGCCATCATCTCCACTGGGTTTATAGTCTAAGCCCTACACCCCCAGTGCCTCACCTCATCATCCTTGGGTGGAGGGTCTGGAATAGGAATGTCCAGTGGGGCTCGGAGAGAGGTCAGGTCAGTCACGTTCAGGGAGTCCTCCTGCACAGAGCTTATTGTCAGGGGCTGCCCAACCTTCCCTGCACACATCCCACCTGCCCTCTGCCTGTCAACTTATGCTCAGACCTCACACCATTCTAAAGTTCCTAGTCCACCACCCACAACTGTTCAATGCATGCTGGGCCCAGCTGCTAGCTAGAGAGGGGGAGTGGAGAAAATGGAGGCCATGGGATGGAGCAAGAGGGGTTCACACTACTCACTTGCAAAAGCTGATTCAAGTGTACGATTTTCTGTGGCAAGAATCTGTAGAGGAATTCCTCAGCCTGTGGGTTACATTGCAAGGGTGGAGAATCACAGAAAACACTCAATTCGATGTCTGAGAAGTGGGACGGGAAGGGCCCTTAAAAATTATTGAACCCAAGACCTACAAATGAGGAAACCAAAGCCCTGAAAAGTGAAGGGACTTGCCCAAGCGGGGAGGTGGCAAAGACCAAGGTTAGAACCGTGGTATTCCTGCTTTGGGGCCATAGCGTTTCCCTCCACACCAAGAGGGGAGAGAAGTGGCAATAGTGGGGAGACTGCTAAGAGGGGTCAAATTAAAGGTAGAGATCAATGAATAGGAGCTATCTCGGGTGAAGGCTTGATAAGGGAAGTAGGGTTCAGGTTTAGGATGGGTTTGGGGGTCACTCTGAGAAGTTGTGACCCTTGGCCATTGGTCTAAGATTCTGGGTCAAATCACTTGAATCCAGAAGACTTACCTCCTTGAAAAGATTTTGCCTGAAGACATCCACCTACACAGAGAGCAGTACCCGGATGTTGGTTAAGGGTCTCAATTGTCAACAGCTAAGATCCCACCCCCCGATGTAATGCCCAAACCCTCCAATTTGGCTCAGGCCCTTCCCACAAGCAGCCAGATTTCCCGGAAGTCCATGCTCAATGCAGAGGCTGGCCAGAGGGCAGGAATCTGGGAATCCCCCGGCAGAAGTGAAAGCACTAAAGAGAAAGATTGGGGTAGTTCTCTGGCACGGCCTTGGTCCCCTGGAACCCAAGCTGGTCTCTACCAGGAGGGTTCCCGGCCCCCTCCTAGCCTTCCAGTCCCCCGTACCTGTTTGCGGGCTTCCCCACTCAGGCGCACCCCACAAGGCTTGGCCATGCTGCTTCAGTATGCTAAGATCTCGGTCTCCCGGCTCGCCTCCTGGGCTTTCGCTTTCACTCCCCACACCCAGGCCCGCCCCCCTCAACCCCGCCCCCTTCTCTGTTTTCCCCCTCCCCCTGGCAGGACGCAAACGGTAGGGAGCCCCTCAGCCATACTCGGCTAGTTGAGACTAAGAGAGGCGGTGCTGACTTGGTTACAGGGCCGGAGCTGCCCGAGGGAGGGTCTAGGGCGAGCGGGACAGCGGAGACTTAACACCCGAGAAGGGGCGGGGCTTACAGGAAGACTGCGTTGGGGTGAGAGACGTGGGAGAGTGGGGAAGTAGGTGTTCAGTGGCGGGGCTCCCCCTAAAAGGCACGACTGTGAGGAGAGGCCGGAGAGGGATCAGAGCGTTGGGGTAGTAGGAGGGAGAGCCTGAGGTTGGGAAGGACTAGCAGGCTATGAAAGGGAGTAGGCGCGGGGGCTCCCTGCCTCCAAGACTGACTGGAGAAGGCGCGGCACAGCCCCGCCAGAGTCGAGGCCCGGGCAGAGTGGGACTTCCCCAGTGGGGACTGTAGCAAGGCCTACTGATCAGGTTAGAGAGAAGGGCTTTGAGGGAAATAAGATAACCCGGCTCCTTTGGCCATCCGGCAAGGGACGAGCCAGCTTCGGGGAAGGCAGGGAATAGCTCTAGAACCAATTTAGAAGCAGTGATGCTGGGCGGTGGGAGGGTGGGAAGAAGCCAGGGACCATTTACCCTTCTCATTGGCTGGGACCGCCCTTATAGGCCACGCCCCATTACTACATGACCCTGCCCTCCTAACATTAAACCCCTCCTTTTCCTCTGAAACTGGGTGGCAGTCCCGCCCTCTACCCTAGTACTTCCTGTTCCCGATTAAACCTGGCTGGGGACTAGGGGTCTCAAGGGTGACCGTGGCCTGAGTGGCCCAGGAAGGTGCGCCGACTGGGTTGGGTCGTAAAGTCAGACACCAGGCGGAAGGGGCGGTGCACAGGCTTAACGCAGCCTGTGCCGGATCCCGGCCGGCTGCGGCGCTGGAACCGACTCCTTCCTCGGGATGCCGGGGGAGGAGGAGGAGCGGGCCTTCCTGGCAGCCCGCGAGGAGCTGGTGAAAGCCCTGAGGAGGGATTCTGGGCAGGCGTTCTCCTTGGAGCAGCTTCGGCCACTTCTGGTCACATCTCTGCCGCCAGCCGCCCGCTACCTGCAGCTGGACGCCGCACGCCTGGTCCGCTGCAATGCTCACGGGGAGGTGAGGCCGAGCCCCACTTGGGGGAAGATCGAGAACCTGAGCCCGGGGCGGGGCTCACAGCTCTCTGCTCTATGACTGCTTTCAGCCCCACGACTACCTCAATACGCTGTCCACGGCCCTGAATATCCTGGAGAAATACGGCCGCAACCTCCTCAGTCCTCAGAGACCACGGTTCTGGCGCGGGGTCAAGTTTAATAATCCCGTCTTTCGAAGTACGGTGGATGCTGTGCAGGTGAAGCCCCTGGAGCCCCTTTTTGGAGAAGGGAACTTGGCCGGAGCCGGGGATTGGCTAGAAAGAGCCTGAGGATGGGCAGAATGGGAAGGGGTTCAGTCCTGTTGGAAAGGGGGCCTGCTGGGTGGTGACTGGTTGCGAATGTGGCAGGGGGGCCGGGATGTTCTGCGATTGTATGGCTACACAGAGGAGCAGCCAGATGGGTTGAGCTTCCCTGAGGGGCAAGAGGATCCAGATGAGCATCAAGTTGCTACAGTCACACTGGAAGTACTGTTACTTCGGACCGAGCTCAGTCTGCTGTTACAGGTGAGGTGTCTCTGGTCCTGAGAACTTAAGCACCAGGGCTGGGAAGCTCAGCCTAACTCCAAAGCCAGTCTAGGGATTCCCATGCTGCTAAGCCATGGGCATAGTCTCTGTAGCAACCTGGGAGTTCCCCTTACTGTTCTTCCTGTGAATGCTGGGGAACTAGGACTTAGAGCGGGGTCCTTGTTCTAAGACTGTAGGTGGGAATTCTTATCTTGTTTGCAGGATTCTCACCCTAGACAGCAAGCACTGGAGCAGCTGCTGAAAGACAAGGTTGAAGATGATGCAAAAAAGGCAGGAATGGGACTTTGAGGCCTGGTGAACGAAGGGGACAGGTGTTAAGGGACTCCCCAAACACCTATTCCCTGCTTTTTTTCCTCAGTTGCTACACCTCTCAGAGTTTGCCCCGCTACTGAGAGAGATTGCTCCTGGCCCCCTCACCACACCAACTGCCCCAGGTATTATTGGTCATATATTGGGAAGGGAGTTAGTAGACCATGGTGATGGAAATTTGGGGGCATCTGTGTCTATCTTCTTGGTTATCTGCCTTTTTTTTTTTTTCCTTTTGGAAAGATTTTATTTATTTATTTTTAGAGAGAGGGAGAAAGAGAGGGAGCGAAACATGAATGTGCGAGAGATACATCAATCAGTTGCCTCTTGCACACCCGCAGCTGGAGACCTGGCCCGTAACCCAAGCATGTGCCCTGACTGGGAATCGAACCGGCGATCTTTTTGATCACAGGCTGGCAGTCAGTCCACTGAGCCACACCAGCCAGGGCTGCCTTTCTTTTTTTAGAAGAGATTAAAATGGTTTCCTTGAGTTCAGATATGTTGAAAAGTAGTCTGTGACTGATCCCCTTCTGCAGCACATTCAGATATAACCAGACCTTTTCCAGAACGATATTCTATCCTTTTTCTCCTGTTCTCCAGCCTCCACTCCTGGTCCCTGCTTCCTCTGTGGTTCTGCCCCAGGCACACTGCACTGCTCAGCCTGCGAACACGCCTTGTGCCCAGCTTGTGATCGCCTGTTCCACGGGCACCCATCCCGTGCCCATCACCTCCGCCAGACCTTGCCTTGGGTCCCCCAGGCTGCCCACTTGACTCCTAGGTGAGAGGCCTTCTCTTCTGGGAGGGAGGAAAATTGAGAGAACTTAAAATTACTTGAGTATCTAGTATGAACCACATTTTGTGCAAAAGACTGTTTTATAGGGGACAATCAAATAGTTACTGTGAGATCACAGACATATATATCAAGCAAGTAGCAGTCATAATGAGATAGATTATCACAGCGTGCATATAGGAAATAGGAGGATGCAGCCTGGTCCGAAGGATTAGCTTAACCAGTTGGCAGTATTTTAAGCATCTAGAATGGGTCAGGTCCTATGTTAGGGATATCTACCAGCAAAATGTAAACTTAAAGCTGTTATTTAAATGTTGAATAGGCTATGGGTATGGGAGTGTTCAGACAGAGAGAAAAAAACATGCAAAGGCCAGAACGATGTGTCATCACACAGGAAATAAGGGATGCCCACGGTGAAGGACCCCGGCGCGAGGCCTTGTCTCCTTTTCCATTACAGCTTACCTGCCTCAGCTCCACCACGGCCCCACCTAACCTCGATGCTGGCCCTGGGAGACAACTCCCTTTCATCCCCTGATCCTACAAGTGCCCGTCTGCCTTGGCACTGTGCCACCTGTGGCATACTGAATGAATCTTGGGCAGTGCTCTGTGTGGCCTGTGATCGGCCCAGAGGCTCTAAGGGGTTAGGGCTGGAGATCGAGAGTCCCCAAGTTGCTGGGAGCCTAGAACCTGAACTTGCACGGGGCCACTGGGCCTGCCAGAGCTGCACTTTTGAGAACGAAGCGGCGGCTGTGCTCTGTGCCATATGTGAACGGCCTCGGTTGGCTCAGCCTCCTAGCTTGATGGTGGATTCTCGGGATGCCAACATTTGCCTGCAGCCCCTTCAGGTAACCTGTTCCTGACCTTCCCAGCTCTTTATTTGCACCTGTTACCGTAAGCCATTCTCTGCCTCCTCATCCCATTTTCCTTCAATTACCCCATGTCTTCCAACCAGCTCCCTATATTTTCATCTTGAGCCTCAGCCAGCTTTCAATGGGATAATTCTTTCTGCCTTCCCAGCAGGGAGATACTTTGCTCTCCTCTGCCCAGACTCCAGTCTGGTACTGTATTCACTGTACCTTCTGCAACTCGGGCCCTGGCTGGGTGTGTGCTATGTGCAACCGGACCAGCAGCCCCATCCCAGTAAAGCATGCCTCCCGGCCCAGTGCCAGCTCTTTGGAAGAGCGACTCCCGGAGCCAGGGCCTCAACGACGCCTCAGTGCCCCCCTGCCCAGTACCTATGGGGAGCCTGAGAAGCAGCGCCAGGACAAGATGCGGGAGGAGGGTCTTCAGCTAGTGTTCAAGATCCGGGTGAGGATTTGGGCCTGGGATGAGGTGGGGCTGAACTGGTGGGGGAAGGGAGAGGCTGTAATCAAATAATACGAATTCTTACAAACCTGGTCATTGTTAGCCACGGCTACCTGTTTTTTTAATACTTCCCACCTGACAGGTTTGCTTTGCTCTGCTCACATGATGATAGTCTGAGCTCAACTACTGTCTGGATTTTCATTCTGGCTGAGGGTGGGTAGAGGGCATCCTTCCTGATAGGCCCTCTGTCTGGGTGGGACTGTGCCTTAGGAAGGGGAAGCCGCAGGCGCCTGTCCAGAGGAGGTCTTCTCAGCTCTGCAGTACTCCGGCACTGAAGTACCCTTGCAGTGGTTACGCTCAGAGCTGCCCTATGTGCTCGAGATGGTGGCTGACCTGGCTGGACAGCAGGACCCGGGGCTGGGTGCCTTTTCCTGTCAGGAGGCCCAGAAAGCCTGGCTGGATCGTCATGGCAATCTTGATGAAGCTGTGGAAGAGTGTGTGAGGGCCCGGCGGAAGAAGGTACCAGCTGTGCTAGAGGTGGGACAGGGTTGAGGGTTGTGGGCCTCGGAGCCTCGTATTCTCTCCTTGCTTGCTTTGTCCCTCTTTATTCCTTCTCTTTACTTCCACCTCTCAGGTGCAGGAGCTCCGATCCCTGGGCTTTGGGCCTGAGGAGGGGTCTCTCCAAGCACTGTTCCAACACGGGGGTGATGTGGCCCGGGCCCTAACTGAGCTACAGCGCCAGCGCCTAGAGCCCTTCCATCAGCGCCTCTGGGACAGTGGCCCGGAGCCCACCCCTTCATGGGACAATCCAGATAAGCAGGTGCTGGAAGGAGGTGAAGACCCATATAGAGGGGCAGAGGGGA